GGTTCTTATTCTACTTGTAGTTTCTACATCTGTCCCTTTTTCCTCTCTCATACATGTGATCTATGATCACTTTCTTTTGTCGCCATAATTGTTCTAATTGCCATATATGCGTGGTTCCATCCTTCTTTGGACTCTATTAGGCTCCTCATCATGTTTTCTGCTGTAAATAACATGCCTGTTTTTTGAAGATAGGTTTCTCTTGCTATGGACCAGTTTGGGCATTCGAACATTGTATGCTTTACATCATCTTCTTTCTGGCAATAGCGGCAGTTGCTAGTGGCGGATTTTTTTCGTTCATAAAGATATTTGTTAAAACAACCATGCCCAGACAGCGTTTGAGTCAGCAAGTAGTCCGCGTCGCCGTAGGGTCTTTCTATCCGTGCTGCTATGTTTGGGATGAGATGATATGTCCAGCGTCCATATACTATTTTCCCATTCTTTTCTTGCAATTTCCTCATTAGTTTTGTATTAGCAATAGTTTTTGGGGTGCTCAAATACCGTTCGCGCCGCTCTTCTATTAACAGCTTGATTGGAGGTATTCCCGCAATAACACCAACTCCTTGGGTCGAGATTGTTCTATACCCGCTGCATATTCTTATCGACAGGACTCTTTGAAGACTACATAGTTTGGTCATGAGAATTTTATTTTTGGTCGCTTCATGCCAGGCTGGTGCCCCATACAATATTTGTGAGTACATAGATAGAATTCTTCTTTTTGATGTCCGAGGACCTCCTACGTTAGGCATTAGTCTTGAAAGGGCTGTGACTGTCCTCCCTGCCTTTTTCTGTGGTTTTTGAGATATGCACAGCAAACGACAGTTTTTGGTCCAAGTATACTCCAAGGTACTTTATAGAGTTCTTTGGTCTAACCATAGCATCTTGGACATTGAAGACGACTGTAGCAATCAAAAATTCTTCCTTTAAACTGAAGTAAATTATTTTGATGTATCACTCAAGCGACTCTCTTTCTTAGGGACCTCTCTACTCCAGTCGATTATCCTTGACAATTGCTTTTCAGTTGTTATTGTTAAGTCATGTTACTGTGACCCCTCCTTTTATGTTTTCTTGATATAGAAATGGGTCTGCTCTCGCTAGATTAGCAGCACTGACAATATCACGTTGGCAGCTATTCCATTCTTCCATACCCCCAAGTTCCGTCACCCCTTTCGTCTGTTGGCTATGCATCTCCCACAGTCAGCTCGCGTTGAGATTTGTGTTGCGTTAAACTTCCTCTGCTATGAATAGCTTCTTTCTTTTATCTGTTCTGTTTATGTAGAGTAAGTTCTAATTTGTCTGAGATGTTTTCTTTGGTTTCTGTTTATCGGTTACTTCTCTTTTTTTCCCGAATTCAGTAATCTTATCTATTGAAGTGGCATAAATAAAAACACTATAGTAGTCTGGCTGGGTAAGTTACATCAGTATTCTTTATTGTTACGGTCGCAAGTCCTGAGATCACCTCTGTCCCAGTTCATTTTAGGGCTACCTGTTAGTGTCTGAGTTGAATTCTTTTTAATGGCAGTTTTTAAGTCATCACTATGTATCCAGTCTTTTCTACCTGATACAACCTTGCGGTTGGGTTCACCTATGACCAAAATCTCAGCTCCAACTTCCTTTGCCGTAGCTAGTGCCAAGTCCATAGCAGCGCGACTTCTGTTGGTGTTGATTTCAATTATTTTCATTTTGTGTTATTGTAGCTCGGTTCTACCCTCCGACACTTTTATTTCTGATCTTTTTGGACATCTTAAGTTTCCGGACTGGTGACCCTCACTATCACAAAATACACAGAAAGGCTGGTTTCTGCAAGTATTTGCTTTGTGTCCCTCTTTTCCACATTTTAGACAGAGGTGTTCTCTATTAGGACCTTTGCAATCCATTTTTGTATGCCCAAGCCTCCAGCATCTGAAGCATCGAGGTTCTTTTTGCCTTTCCTGTATTCTGCAGGTTGACCAGCCAATTTCAAGCGTATGGTTTTTGAGAAGGTCGTTAGCTTCAGTGTCTCCCATGATCAATGTGGCATTCTGTTTCCCAACGTATGATGGCCGTAGGGCTTTAACCGCTATATCTTCAGGACGGGCGCCAATGGCTTTTACAATAGCTTCCTTGACCTCATCTTTCGTTGTTAACTCATCCATATTTTTTATATGTAGCACTTTTTTGCTAGCTAATACTCTAGCTCTAACTGTTGGAAGTCTTTTTTCTAATTCTTGTTTCAGGGTCTCCGCCTTGTCTGTTCCATTCTGGATGGTAAGGATAGGATCATCGTTCCTTGATTTCTTCAAATCTCTTATGTCTACTCCCAATTCGCTAGGGTTCACTGTCGACTTAATCGTTTTCAGCAGATCCGCATAGCTTTTTCCTTCCATCTTTATTAGGAGAGCATCATGTTTAGGCTTGTTGGTTGCGTTCCTTTCTAGAGTACTTTGAATACGCCCCCGAGACCTCTGAGTAGCTCTGTGAGGCTTATATATCACTATTTGGATGGACGTGTCTATTAAGAGGAATTTTAGCATTTTAATTGTTGTTTTGCTTGTCGTTTCTTCCATTTCTGGTATTGCAATACTTGTCCTATTTTGTGTTAGCATAAGATCCTTTATCATTTTAAGAGATTTAAAGATTAGATCATCGTCTTCATCGCTATCTAAAACTGGGTAGTATATCCATCTGTTTTTGTTGCAGATCTGTCCATTTGCATCAGGAAATCCCAAAGAGTGCGTCATCAGTGCAACTTCTCCTGGTTGTTTATTCTGGCTCTTGAGTTGTGTTTTAGCTCCAAAATTTTCTATTGCTCTGCTCACAAACCTGCGCACCACGATATCATGCTCCATGGGTGCATTCCAGATACATTCTTGAGAGACTAGTGGTTTCTGGAATATTTCAGTATTCCATTCCTCTTCTTCGACTGACTGAAAGACTTCTAGTGATTGTTGGTGCAATTGCTGCTTTCTAATATGTCTCCTTTGGATTGCTTTGCATTCTTCACATTTTTGGTTGTCTATATGCATTTTCAAGAGTCCGAATGCGATTACGAAGCTCCTTATTTTCTTCTCGAATTTTTGTGTCTTCTTGATTTTTATTACCTAATTCAACTTGGTACTCCAGAACAGGAGATTCCAGGAATTCTTTAATTTGATCTGATTTTAATTTTTCTATTAAGTAGCCAAGGTTGCTACTGACATCGATAAATTCTTTCTTACATTTGTATGTTTGGCTCACAATTTTCGCCAGTGTGTTTGCTTGTCGAGTTATACCATCGAGACATCTTTTTAAAGTGGTTGCCGCATCTGCATTTTCTCTGTCTATCTTTGGTGATGGTAGCTTCCACTTTCTCTTTTTTGTTGGGTTCTGATCCTCGGGTTCTTTTGTAAAAACACTTAGGCTAATTCATTATAAATCTATATTCATTATTATTATATATTATTATAGGTCTACTAACAGGGCATTGTAAGCTAAATAGGCATCTAAAGCTGATGGGATTGACAGACGAAGCTATGTGTAGGTTCTGTCAATCTGAAGAAGAAACGTCAGAACACATTTTATGTCTGTGTGACAGCCTGGCAAATGTGCGGTTCCCGGTAATAGGCAATGATAGGCCATTGCCAAGGAGCTACATGGAGGGTTCAGTCTCCAAGTTGCTAAACTTTGTCAAAAGGATAGGACTGGAGAATGTAATCTAAGGATCAGAAGAGGACCACAATAGATCTGAGAAGGTCGCAGTGGATCAGGCCGAAAGCCACCTCTAAGAATCTAATCTAATCTAGAATGAAAGTAGTTCGTAAAGTGGCGGTAAAAGACAATAATTCTCAACATTTATTCATTCAGAAAGATATTCAAAGTAATGTGTAATGTGTGCTTTTCAAGGTGTTTTGTAAATCAGTGGTTCAAATTGTGATGAAGCCTATACGAAAATAATGTGTTAAGTTAAAAATGGGGACTGTTATTTTAGCAGTTTTTATAATAGCACGTACAAGTAAAGCAGCACAATGAAGTGTATTTAGTTAAGTGTGTATCGAAAAAGAGAACTGTCGCAGTTACATCGATCTGTCATAAGTATCTTTTTTAATGTTGGGTAAGTTTTTTAATTTAACTTTTAAACATTTAACTTTTAATTTATTTTATGTAATAATATCACAATCTTAAAAATGTAATGCATCTCTGCAAACACCTCAGGTGTTGTGATTTTATGACTTACTTGTAAACATAGACTTTCTTGTCCATATGGCAACACAGTGCGTCGAATTAACTGAAATCCGGGCTTAATCCGGGTAATTGGATGTAGTTGGCAATATCTGCCGGCGGTTCTCAAAATGTTGCGATTATTTTTTTAAATTTTCAAAGTTAAATAACTCAGTTATTTTCAATTTATTTTAAAAATGGTAAAAAAGATATGTTTATTTTGACCAGATCTACCACCTCTTAAAATATCTGCACTCATTTCTGGGACACCTGTATATATATATATATATATATATATATATATATATATATATATATATATATATATATATATATATATATATATTATATATATATATATATATATATATATATATATATATATATATATTATATATATTATATAATTCACTATATGATAATAAATATATTTAAAATCCATTTTTGTAATACTGTGTACTAATTAATGTTTGACAAGGTAGAGATACATTTAGTTTCTTAATATCCTCTTGCTTTTTTACATGGTAACTTAATACATTTGCACTTAGTTCAGTTAGTTTGGGTGGTGTCCACATGTTATTACATACATATGTAGATGTTACACAGTTTTGTCTGCTCGAGTGCATGTTTCAAGTTGTAATGATGTCTCGAGCACTAACAAAAAATTTATGAAAAATTATTATTAGTACCAGTGTGATACAGTATTACATATAGTATTTATATAAGTTGATATATATAGTTGAGATATATAAAAAATAAAAAATAATTTAATTCCTGTATCTATTAGTACAATTAACATTAAAATATAATGCTTTGTTAAATCTAAACTCTACATATGAAGAAAAACGCAATTTATTAGTGTGTAACGTCACTTGTTGATTAGGTTAATTTTTATCTTTTAAAACATGTATAAATAGCAAGCAATAAACGCTTGCATTCTCACACAGTTACTTCTAATAGTTCTAATAGTTCAACAGTGACTTGAAAAAATGGCTAACGCTCCATCCACTATCATAATTAAATCCTTAGATAAATCAAATTTTCCACTAGATATGGGTTTAGTGGTAATGAGAGAAATGTTCACGTAAGTTTTTTATCCAGTGTGTTTTTTTACAACAATAATCATTTTGACTTCTCCTTTCTTGTTTAATGAGTATTTTTATTTTTCATTTCAGTTTTGGTGTGAAGGATATATCAATTAAAGGGGATAAAATATTTATATGCCTGACGTATACTCCACGGCATCAGAATCTAAAAAAGAAATTTGGAGACTTGCCCATTCAATACATTAGAACAAAAATGTTTGACAAGGAAAAAGACTTAAAATTGTTTGAAACGGCATTAAAAATATTTAACTTTAAAATCCGTTTGGACGAGGAGGAAGAGGAGGAATTCCAACAACAACAACAACAAATAGAGAGTGGTCCTAGCAGAAAAAAGGTAAAAGTTTCACAACCAGAATCATCGTTGTTGGAGTCTAGGATTAGCCTGGATTCTGAACAAGGTGGAACAAAATGGATTTTAAATATATTTATTATCATATAGTGAATTATATAATATATATATATATATATATATATATATATATATATATATATATATATATATATATATATATATATATATATATATATATATATATATATATATATATATATATATATATATATATATATATATATATATATATATATATATATATATATATATATATATTATATAATTCACTATATGATAATAAATATATTTAAAATCCATTTTTGTAATACTGTATTACTAATTAATGTTTGACAAGGTAGAGATACATTTAGTTTCTTAATATCCTCTTGCTTTTTTACATGTTAATACATTTGCACTTAGTTCAGTTAGTTTGGGTGGTGTCCACATGTTATTACATACATATGTAGATGTTACACAGTTTTGTCTGCTCGAGTGCATGTTTCAAGTTGTAATGATGTCTCGAGCACTAACAAAAAATTTATGAAAAATTATTATTAGTACCAGTGTGATACAGTATTACATATAGGATATTGATAATTAAAATTAAAAAATACAAATTACTATAAGTACAAGTGTAATTACACAGTCTTGAATTTAGTATATTGATAATATTAAAAAAATAAAATTTTAAATAATATAATATAGTTAAAATTTTAAATAATATAATATCGGTAAAATTCTTAAAATTTCTGGCTAAATATATCATCATCATCATCCTCAACTAAGACACTTAAAGATTTCTTATGCGTCCTTTGGGTGTTTACAACGTCATCACCTTCTTCAGAATCCAGGCTAATCCTAGACTCCAACAACGATGATTCTGGTTGTGAAACTTTTACCTTTTTTCTGCTAGGACCACTTTCTATTTGTTGTTGTTGTTGTTGGAATTCCTCCTCTTCCTCCTCGTCCAAACGGATTTTAAAGTTAAATCTTTTTAATGCCGTTTCAAACAATTTTAAGTCTTTTTCCTTGTCAAACATTTTTGTTCTGATGTATTGAATGGGCAAGTCTCCAAATTTCTTTTTTAGATTCTGATGCCGTGGAGTATATGTCAGGCATATAAATATTTTATCCCCTTTAATTGATATATCCTTCACACCAAAACTGAAATGACAAATAAAAATACTCATTAAACAAGAAAGGAGAAGTCAAAATGATTATTGTTGTAAAAAAACACACTGGATAAAAAACTTACGTGAACATTTAATTATGATAGTGGATGGAGCGTTAGCCATATTTTCAAGTCACTGTTGAGCTATTAGAACTATTAGAAGTAACTGTGTGAATGCAAGCGTTTAATTTTGCTTGCTATTTATACATGTTTTAAAAGATAAAAATTAACCTAATCAACAAGTGACGTTACACACTAATAAATTGCGTTTTTCTTCATATGTAGAGTTTAGATTTAACAAAGCATTATATTTTAATGTTAATTGTACTAATAGATACAGGAATTAAATTATTTTTTATTTTTTCTAATAAAATAAGGGTCTCCAGTAGCTTTTTTTAATATATAGAACCAATAAATTGCGTTTTTCTTCATATGTAAAATTAGGATTTAACAACGCATTGCATTTTAGTGTTATTTGTACTAATAGGTAGTGGAATTAAATTATTTTTAATTTTTCTATTAAAATAAGGGTTTCTATTGCTCTTTTTCACTGCGCAAAACCAATAAATTGTGTTTTTCTTCATACGTAGAGTTAGGATTTAACAAAATATTGTATTTTAGTATTATTTGCACCATTAGATAAACTAAATAGTTTTTTTTAATTCTTCTATTAAAATAAGGGTTTCCCAAACCCTTTTCCGCTATATAAAAAGAAACTAGATATTAGTGGAAACTAGAGCTAAATTAGCAAAATTCACCAATTTTATTTCAAACAAACACATAACATTTAATGGTTAATACGCTATATAATATTTACTCCATATTCCCCTATAAAGAAGCAAAGAATGCCAATTAGTCTATAAAAATAAAAGAAGGTTAAATGTCACGAAAACAGAAAATTAGATTACATTTTAAAAACGCTTCAAGTTATAAAAATTACTTATCATTGTTGTTTGTGCATGTATAAGTGATAACAAATTAGGGGGTTATAGTAACGAATTATGTAAAATAAATGAATTTGCATTACAATTTGAACAACAATTTTAGGTTGCAAAAGAACCCTATTTGATTTATTTTTAAACTGATTTGAGTTATTATTATTCAATATTAGTTTTCCAACAGCACTTTCTTCACACACTTCAAGCGTACTTATTGTTACAACAGCTAAAACAAGCAAATCTTCGCAAAAGCAGCAGCAGAAACTGTTTATTTTCCTTTGGTAAGTTTGTAATTTTTTTCTTTTTATTAAAGAAACAGTTGACTTGAGTGTTTGATATATTTTAAAATTTATTTTGATTTTTTAGAATCATGTACAATGTCAAAAATGTTTGGAAATAAATGTACCCATCCAGATGACCATTACGGCCATGGTACTAATTTAAAACCTGGTACCAGCCGTGATAGCAGCAGCAGTAGCGGCATTCCACAATCCAGTACCAGTGGTAGAAATTATCAGAGCTCTTTAAATGTAAGCAGAAATATAAAGAACCATTAGTAATTAATTTCTATTTAACATTAGGTTTTATATACCAATAGTAACAAAAAAATAGATAAATTAGTACAGGAAATAATTAAAACTTTTGAAAAGGCTAGTAGGATAATTAAGACTAAAGAAGAACACAATAAGTAGATTAGTTTATTAAGAAAAAATATTTTTACGATTAAAAAATGTATAAAAACAAAATCAAAATGTATTCAAAATTTTTCTTGTGCCGAAGCAGGATTTGCATTACTCAGACATTATCATTTCAATTTAAAGAATTCTAAACGAATTAAATTTGGTAGATCACAACATAATATCATAAAAAATCTACTTTGGCAAGATGTGGAATCTTGTTTTAATGGAAGAATTAAGACGGGTATTATAACTAACATTAATATTAAAGATCCTAAATTTTTTTTAAAAAGAGCATTTAAAAGTTTTTCCTTAAAAATAAAAAAAGAATTAAAGCAATCGTTACTTAAAGTAAATGCAATTTTTTCTGCTAATTTTGTAAAGCCACACACTGCTGAAACAGATGTTAAAACATTTTTAAAAAATATTGAAATTATTGACAACACAACAAATTTAAAATATTGTTATAAGAAAAATATTGAAGAGAAAATTTTAGCTAAATTGGAAAAATTTCAAGAAAGGGATAGCGGGTGCGCCTTATTTCAAATTATTCACCTTAAAATTAATATAAATCAGTTTAACCCCATTAGTGTTGGTTCATCGACTTATGTGGATTTACCTAATTTTATTAAGAAAAATGAATATTGCTTTCTATGGTCAATAGTGTGTGCTTTATATTCTGCTCCTTAATATAAACATAAAAACTCTAGTGCTACCAGTTCATATCCACATTTTACACAAGTACAAGGCCTACATTATTACGATATTACTTTTCCCATAGGTTTAAAAGATATTTCAAAGTTTGAAAAAATGAACTCAATTTCAATTAACGTGTACACTTTTGAAAAGAAAGAGATTTTTCCTGTAAGCTTAACAAAAGCAGACTTTGAACTGAAAATTAACTTACTTATTATTCCTTGTATTAACTATAATAGTGATGATGATGACTCAGAAAACGATGATGATGAGTTACATTTAAACAAAAGTCAAAATATCTTAAATAGTATTTATTTTCACTTTGCATACATAAAAAAATTATCTAGATTAGTGAATTCTCAAATTGGTAAAGTAAAAAATAAATCCTGGTTATGCGACCGTTGCTTGAATCATTTTAAATCAAAAGATAATTTACTAAAACATTCTGTAGATTGCAAAAATTTAAACACAACTAAAATATTAATGCCTAAAGAGAATGAAAAGATTTTAAAGTTTAAAAGTTTTAAAAATAAAGAACAAGTACCGTTCGTAATTTACAGTGATCTGGAATGTATTCTTAGTAAATGTGAAGAAAATGTTTCAAATAGCACTGCATTATAAACAAAAAAATTCAGAAACATATTCTATGTAGCATAGCGTATTACCTCAAATGTTCTTATAATAATCAGTTGTCAAGATTTAACTCTTACACTGGTTCAGATTGTATTAAATGGTTTATTAATCAACTTAAAGAAATCTCCGATGAAATTTCTGAAATATTTGCCAATCCTTTACCTATAAAAAAATTAACTGCTGAAGAATTAAAATATTTTTAAACTGCAAATCACTGTCATGTGTGTGAAAAACCATTTTTAAAGGGAGAAAAACGTGTAAAAGACCACAATCATTTAACTTCAAGTTTCAGGGGGCCAAGTAATGAACACTGTAACCTAATGTACACTGATAATCATCACATACCTGTAGTTTTTCATAATTTATCAGGTTCTGATAGCCCTTTTTTTATTAAAGATTTAAGTACTGAGATAAAAGGAAAAATTACTTTATTACCCGTTAACAAAGAACGATACATTTCGTTTACCAAATATATAGAAAATACAAATATATCTTTGAGATTTATTGATTCGTTTCGTTTTATGTCATCAAGCATTGAAAAATTAGCTTCATATTTATCCGATGACCAAAAAAGTATTACTAAAAGTTTTTATTCAAATAATTCCGAATTTCATTTATTAACTCGAAAAGGAGTATTTCCTTACGAATATTTAGATACTTGGAAAAAACTTGAAGACGAACATTTACCCGAAAAAGAAAAATTTTATAGTTCTTTGAATAATCAAAGTATTTCTGATGATGATTATAATCACGCAATCAATATTTGGAATACTTTCAAAATTCACAATTTAAAAGAATACATGGAATTGTATTTAAAAACCGATGTTCTTTTACTAGCAGATATATTTGAAAATTTTCGTTCAACTTGTTTATCAACCTACAAACTTGATTGTTTACATTATGTTACAACACCATCATTAGCCTTTGATGCCTTTTTAAAAATGACAAACACTGAACTAGAATTACTAACAGATCCTGATATGTTTATGTTTATTGAACGAGGTATACGAAGGGGAATTTCACAATGTTCGAATCTTTATGGAGCAGCAATGTCTATGTCATTACCAATTGCGGAATTTCAATGGGTTGATGATTTCTACCAAGAGAGTATAAATATTTTAGACATTTCATATGACTGT